CTTTCGACCCACTACTTAGTGCATTGCGACCCCTTCTAAGCAATAAAAGTTGTCATTTTGAAAAGGTACACAACAGCACCTGTAGTTTGAATTTTACATTACTTTTCCTTCACCTATAAACTACATCTATCTTACATGTTAATAGTTCCCAGAGACTTTCTATTGGCCCTTTGTGTTGTAGTCAAGCAGGGTTTATCTGCAGCCGACGTATTAATAGACATGACGAAAAATTAAAAGCAAGCGTTATTGAATTAAAAAAGGTACACATCTGCTTTTTACCCAGTCCATCTCCTTAGTTTTATGAGGTAAATAATCTCTCTTTAGTTTGTGAACTTGACCTCAAAGGATCTTTAATTTTCACCTGTGGTCCAAAAACCCCTTTTCCGTTTCCTCTTTTCTTTTGTTGGGGGGGGGGGTTAATGCATGATCAGTTTTCTTTGACATGTTAAAATAGTCCCGGGAAACAAGCAGAATTTTACATTGATAAAATGCCTAATGAAGTCACAACATAAACTATTTTAACATGTCAAAGAAAATTGATCATGTATTAACCCTAATGAAGTCACAACATAAACTAACTAAACGACAGTGAAGCTTGAAACCAGCAGCAAAAAATGCAGATCCCAACGCCAAGAGACTCTTAGCTTAGACAGCAACATAAGTTAACTATGTACTGCTCCCATTTCTCGTGCTTCACGACCCAACACGTGCCTTTGCTTGATCCAGGGTTAATGGATATCATAGGGCAATATGGAAAGTGAAAGAAAAATGTTGGTCAAATTAAGAATCTTCTCAAATGGGATTCTGGGCGTGAAGGGTTGGATAGATAGACTGGTCACATGTGAGGCATACCAGCACAACCTTTGAGTGTATATGACTTAAGGGAAGGGGAAAGAAATGATGGTGTTTGTAGCGTGAACCAAAGATAGTTGTCCAAAAAGGAAGAATTTTTCTATTTGTAACCAAAAACATTAAGTAGGTAACCCTAACATATATAGCTTACAAATATTAAAGATATTCGAAAAGAGAGGTAAAGGAAACATAAAATATATGGAAGATTGAATCCCACAAAAAATAATTTAAGGGTTGGAAGATAAGCTGTCGTTATTCGGATCACATTTGAGTGAGAAGCCACTATCGGGTTACATCACAAGCCAAGCATTGTATTGAAACACAAAAGCCAAAACACTAAAGCCAGAGCTTTTCCACCGCAATGAAAAAGACACATTAGTTTGGCAGGTGGGTTTGGGGTTGTCGAAATGTGGTTTTCGTTTGGTTTGGCAGTTAAGTTACTGAAACAAAATGTTAGTTCCAAAACCAAGACAAATGTTCGTGAATCTTCTGACTTTTTTGCCTGCTCCATCGTGCCATGTTGGTGGCCAAAATCAGATCACTGGTAGGCCCATTTTGAAGTTTGAAGTTTGAAGCTCATGCACTTGGGGTCTTTGAATGGAAATGAAATACGTAGATGTGCAACACCATAAGAAAGGTAGACCAACAACACCAAAGGCTACACTAAAATAAAACACGCAGGTAGCGGCAATCACGCCAAGTTCAGTGCAAAGGCATTTACTTTTATCATTAGGAGCTAAACAAAGATTTCATGTGGGATGCAATCAAAGTGCGGGTTCAAGCTTTGTGCAAATTAATGATAGCGATGTGTGTGCTGCTACTGTTGACGTACTAATAAGAAGCGAAAAGGCGACGAAGTGGGTTTTGAATGATGATGAAGTAGCGTTGAAATCAATATTGTTGAATGAGGCTTTTTCCAAGTAATAAGCCGGCAAATGACGGGGCGGCTTCTCTGTCTCTTTTAAATTCAAACTTCCTCAACGCCATCATCATTCTTGTTAATGGGTTGATACGGGGCATCTGAGAATCTCAACTACAAAGGGCTATGCTATTCCTACAGCGTTGCGGATTAGGTCGGCATTGTCATTAAATAGTTGAAGAAGCATGGATGGATGGTTGCTTTCTTAATTAAGGTTGCCTTTTAGTGGAAAATCACAAATTTAATTTAACCCACTTGCCTTATTAAATGTATATTTATGATGCTAAAGAGTTGGAAATAAAAACAATGCATGTGAATATTCCAGGCCATAATATCAAATTAAAAGACTAATGGTTATTTCTCTTTTTAAGTGTATGACTTTTATTTCACCAGAGCAAGTTAAAGATTAATCACTCCGAGCTCTACAGTATGAGAATATTACGCCGCATCATCTATAGAAAAGGGTTAGTGTGAAAGTATTGACCTGTTTCTTTTATTATTTCAAAAGGAAGTTGCACAAATCTAGAATTCTTTTTTATTCTACTTTGATGCAATTTAATGTTATAATTAAGTAGTAGGATTTTACTCTATATTTTTTCTTTAATTCCACCCACTTGTCACTAAGCTTAAGCATCATCTCTTCTTAACTATAATTACACCATTTTCTTACCCTTTATTTATTTATACTTAGATAAAAGCAGCTAGTTTTATTAGAAATAGAAAAATATCTAAATTACAATAAAAGTTTACAACTACAACTATAAACTAAACAAACAATAAGGGCATTTTCCTATAATTATCAACACATTAGACTAGCCACTTAAGATCATATACAAGACCATATACAATGGAAAGGTTAAAAAATCTAACCAAATAAACTCAAATAAAATATAGATACGAACAGATCTGACCGCATTGGTAAACGAACCATAAAAGGGAATCAAGCTATTGAAAGATCACCAACAAACCACAAATCAAAATCAAGCAACATGAGAAAACTATCCACGAATGTAAATCACGTATCCAAATCCAATAAGGGGGTCCAAAGCAAGAAAGATCAGCATGATAACAAAAATATTATCTTGATCAATCGTGGCGATGTCAAATCCAACCTAAGAAAAACGATAAACGAAAATAACGACTAAACAATCGAAAATGTGCCAAAAGGGAGATGGAAACATGTCATAAAAGCAAATGAAATTGTGTCATAAGGGTTAAGTTATTAAAAATTTAAAAACAAAAAATATACGATATAATAAAATAAAAAAACTAGGATTCTCTTTTTAAATATATAATATTTACTTCTGATCAACTATGTAAATTATGAGTGTAAATGCATTGTAATTATTTTGATTATGGATACAACAAAATATTATTATGATATTGAATTTATTTAAATTGTGCCTTTTTATAAAATACAAAAATAATGTAGCATGTGCATATCAAAATTTTTTTTAAGAATAACACATATTTGAACAAGTCGGGGGTCAAGACATGCAGTTACTTTTCATTAAATGAAAAAATAATGACCAATTAATATGTTATTATTCAACAAGTAACTAATTATTTTGACGGAGAGACGTTTATTAATAATAAAGCAAGACGACGAGTAGAATTAAGGCGGCTAATCTAATGTTATTTTATAATATAATAGATGCTGCTTGGCTTCAGAAGCGTGAATTATAAAAAGAATGAGATTGTAATTAGATGAAACATTGAAGGCCCTCCACTACACAAATACGATTCCTTTTGCAGGCTTCAATTCAATTCACCCATATCCCGTGTTACCAATCCGCTTTTATTTATGCATTTTGGACATGCTTTACCCCCCATTTTTGCTTTTATATTTTGAACCTGCAATTCTGTGATAAATTTATGTTTCCTTCAACTTTATTTATACATCCATAACTAATAGCAACTTAATTATTATTTCATAATCATTTTAAGGTTATCACGATTCTATAATTGCTTTAATAATTTCAAAATATTACATTTTTTAAAAACGAATAATACCATGCATAACATCTACACTTACATCCCCAACCAAGGACAGGACCAGAATCTCAGTTTAAGAGGACCAAAATATAGATTTCTAGAAAATAGAGGATAATTTATAACTAATATTCAAATTATATATATATATATATATATATATATATATATATATAATCTTTTTCTTAAAATTAGAGGTTACGGCCCCTCCCCTGTACCAAGTACATCCAACATAACAATTTAAAATACTATGATGAATCAAATAAATAAAAACAACTTTATCTTCCACACGTTCATATAAACTAACCTATATTACTCGTGAAAAAACACAAAAGAAACCCTATATTACTGTGAATTTTCTGTTTTCTTAATAGTTAAATTTTCTGTTTTAAGAATAAAATATCAAAGTATTATTTATTTAATATATTTATATTCTAAACTTATACTTGAAAAATATAAATTTATATTCTCTTAAAATGTTAACCAAGCAATTATATTGAAAAAATTAAAATTATATCTCAAAATATTATTTTGAAAAATACGAACGAAGGGGTCGGACCCTCTCTAGGTCCTGCTCCTATGTAGGACCTGGTCCAGTTGCTGCCCCTTGCATGCCTACCCTAGTGTTAATTTTTTACATAAAAAAGTGTGAAGTTATTACTACATGTACACAAATTTAATGAAATTGAGGAAGTTTTTATATATTGTTTTCATTGATGCAATGGTTTTTTTTAATATAAATTTTAAATTTAATTTTAATCTTACTTAAAAGAGGTAAAAGAAGACTCAAAGAAAAAGAAGATGACGGTAACAAATTTATATATTGTTTTCATATCACCCGTTCTAACGTATGTAAAATATATTTATGGCTAAAGTTTGAAGGCAGTAAAAGCAAATAAAGATTGTCTCTGTCCTAGTCTACTGGTTTAGCTGCTTTGTAGGCATAGCATGAAACAATTTTGAGACAGAAACTGAGAGAGAAAGAAGCAGGCACCCAAATGCTGTGAAAGGAAAGATTTTTAAAAGAAAGAGTAATGATTAGAAAATTAAACAGAATGCAGAGAATTCTTGTTGAATTTGTAATAATGGCAGTCGAAACAAATGGAAGCTACCACTGGTTTTGAAATAAAACAATTTTACTACAGAAGTAAGAAACTTCGATTGAACAAGAATGAGTTGTTAAAATCAAAGAACCCAGAGAATCTAATCCAACAGTGAACAAAAAGCAAGTTTTATATTTGGTCTGTGGTGAAATAGGGTTATAATGATCAGTTGTTACAAACAGCACTTAAAAGACAAATTCAGAGAAAAGAATTACAGTTAGAAACAGAGTAGAAGAATCTGGAGAAAAAAATCTTAGATCCCAAACATAGGTAATAAGCAACCAAAATTTGTTTACCTTTGGATCAAACATTGCTGTGAAACAGAGACGATAAATCCTCCACATCACTTGACAAATTCAGCATCAGACACGGCGGAAAGTTCAATTTGGCTAGCATCATCGTCATCGACTGGAGCAGGAAGGTTAAGATCTATCATACTATTTCCCAACTTTTTGGAACTTTTAACTGCTGTTTTGGTTGTTGTTTCTGCTACTTGACCGGTTATATGAGATCTTTTATGTCCACCCAGAGCCTGTCCAGATGAGAACACTCTAAAACAAACAGGGCATTCATGGACTTTCTTTTCTGCCATTGAACAAGTAGCCACATTTTCTGGTTTCAACTCTGTTTCGTAAGTTGCTGCGGCCGGGTTGGCTTTGATCTTTTTGTGACTCGCTCTGTGCCCACCCAGTGCTTGGTACGATTTAAAAACCTTGTTGCACGTTTCACATCTGTACTTTGCCCGAGCTGTTCTATTATTAACCTTGCTTAATTTGATGTACCCTTCTGATTCATCACTTTCTTCTTCATCTTCTTCATCGTCCTCGTCTTCATCGCGGTCTTCACGTACTTTACTTTTCCATTGGTCCCTTGAAAGCATCATAAGACAGAAAGCGACATCTTCTTCAGTTGTTGTATCAGAGATGGAACTCACCGGTTCAGGTTCAGCCCAAGACTCGGTCTTACTCAGTTGGTTGATATTAACTTTAAGCTTCTTTGTTTCTTCATCATCATCATCATCATCATCATCATCTTGTTGTTGTTGCTGGTCTAGTATTTTCCGAGTCCGTTTAGATCGTTTCCGAGTTGGGTTCCTAGACGACTCGGTCTCGCTTTCTCTGTCTTGAAGAACAACCGAGCCAGCATCCACAAACTCAGGATCTACCATGCGAATACTTCTCTTTGGGTTCTCTCTAAGCCCATAAAACTGGCCCTTTTTCTGCTCTTCTTCTTCATCAGATGAAGACGATGAATACGAAGCTGATGCTGCGTCGGACTCTTGACTGGGTTGATTCATTGGTTCTTCGACCTTGGAAGGAACTGGAAGATTCAACATATGAGACCTCATATGACCACCCAAAGCTCTTCCATTTACAAAGCTCTTGAAGCATAACTTACACCTATGTTTCTCCATTGCAAAAGCAGAGCTTGAAGTTTATGTCTGAAAATTCTATGAATTCTGGACTGTGTCTTTCGCTAGAGGGGGAGAGAGTTTTAGAGAAGCATGGAAAGAGAGTGCAAAAACTAAAAAAAGGAGCAACTGACAAGCATTCCTCCACCAAGAGATATATACAAAGAAACAGTAATTTTCTTTTTATTTATTTAACTGGTAATTTGTTTTGTTATAAAAAGGAAAATATTAATGAATAAAAGCGTATGCATGAAGGGAGAAAGAACATACGGCACTTTGCCCGTTTTCTCTGTATTTATTCCCTCTCCAACTCCTTATTTTTTATATTTCCCAAACCACCCTTCCTTACCAACAGAGAATATAATACTCAGTCCAACCATCTTTTTCCTTGGTTTTAAAAACAAAAGGGTATTTCAGGAATTCAAATGAGGGCTTACCAGAATAAACCGGTGGGTTTGCTTTGCTTTGTTCAAAGTCATGAAAACCGCTGGGGTTTGTTGAAACGACGAAGCAGTGTATGAAAACCAAATCACACGGTGTGATGATATCTTTACAACACTATTTTCTTGTTATTGTAATAATGAATCTGTATATATATTTTGCTGCTGCAATTAATTAATTAAAATCATAAGCAGTATCAGTTTAATAATTTAATTTTGGAGAATCTGTTGCGGTTGAGATTTGGTCCAAGTGTTAGTGTATGTAACCTTTATGGTTTTTACCATCATACAAATTAATAGTATCAAAATGGTTGGGGTAAAGTTCCCTTTAATTTTGGATCTGTTGATTGAAATGAAGGGTGGGGAAACTAACAACCTCCCATTGAGGAAGGAGTTTTGTATGGGAAGCAAATGCCGTTTTGCTAGGGTTTGGTAGACCCAATCCTACTCTTTCATGTCGACAAATATATTAAAACAAAATCTATGCCCATCTCACCTCTACTTGTCTCGTTGGTCTTTGGGGGATGCTCAAAATCCTTAACCCAACCTACTATCATTTAGGCTAAACCACAACAACTACTCATCAATAAATACTCTTTGTATTATTATTTTTATAAATTCATCCACAATCTCATGTTTTTATTTTAATTATCGATCATCACTATATACCAATGTTTTTAAAATCGGACCGGAAGGTTCAACCGGGGTTTAACCGGATTTTATATAAAATAATATTTTTTTAAATTTTACATAATATTCAAAGCAATATTAATATATATATATATATATATATATATATATCATTTTTTTAAGTTTACAATATTAAAAGGTATAAAAATATCACAAGTCATAACATATATAAGTTAAAAAACATAAAATCAAGTGAAACAAAATGATTTAAATCAACTACAACATAATATTTAATGTAAACAAATTAAATAATAAATATAATTATATAATTTTAATAAAAAAATAAATTTGGAGCTGAAAAAAATCATAACAAACGATGTCGTTTGGTTTGATTTTTTTTTAAAAACAATCCCACATGGCTAATAAATATAGAAAAACATCCCAAAAGTCTAAAGAGTAAAAATATGAGAACAAAACAATCTCACATGGCTAAGAAACATAGAAGAGCATCTTAACTTACTTCTATAAATACTAGAGGTAATTTGACATTCAAAATCATGGAGCCTTTTGGTGAGCACAAAGCGAATTATTCTTTTGCTTCAATTGAGCTCGAATTTCAGGCTTTAATCGAGCTTCTATTTTTTTTTTGAGTTCAAGCCTTTTCGAGTTCAAGTTTCAATATTATATTTCGAGTTAGAGTTGAACTTGATAATTTTTAGCTCGTGAGTTTTTGAGTTGAGTTAAGCTTACTTTTAAAGTTTTCGAGTTTGAGTCGAGCTCAGCAGTACTCGAGTTCGACTCGGCTCGTTTAACAAATGACGTCGTTTGGTTTAATTTTTTTAAAAGAAAAAAAGAGAACCGACGGTTCACACCGGTTTTGCCGGTTTTCAGCCGGTTCACCCCGGTTCTTTATCAATTCTGTGCTCATCCGATTTTGGGAGTTAACCGGACCGGACAGACCATCGGTTCATGGTTCAACCGGTTGAACCGGTCGGTCCGGTCCGATTTTAATAACACTACTATATACCCACATCTCATTGTTTTTAATAATTTTACATCAATAAATAAAATAATAACACATATCACCGCCTCATAAAAGAAAATAAATTGAACTTGAAAGAGCTAGAACTCGAACTAAGAACCCAAGGGCTCTTGCACTTAACTAAGTCAAAAATATGTTTAAATTTCATAAAACCTTATATTTAAATTGGTCAAAAAAAAAAAAAACAAATAAGTTTCGATCCGGAGAGGAAGAGATTTAACTAAGACCTCTTGTTGATCCTACACATAACCACTGAGTGAGGTTAGGACTTTATATAAATACTATCAAAATTAATATTTAAGTTAAATTACGTCAATACCTTAAAAGTAATTCAAAATATTATTAAAGATTATTAAACTCGAGACCTTAAAAAAGAGGTCAAATGTTTAACAGTTGAATAAACAATATAATTGTTATATTTTCAACCAAACTAAAACTATTTTCTTACAAAGTTTTAGAATAAATAAATAAATAAAATATTTATTTATTTATATTATAAAACTAATATCAACTTTTCTACAAATTAAATCTATAATACATATTTATGATAGAGTATAAATTTTAAATTAGTTAAAATATTTAAATGTAATTTTAGTATTTTAATTATTATATTATTATATCTTAAGTAAAAAATTTGACATGACTCAAATCAAAATTTTAAAATAAATAATTGACCCAAAAAGATCATATTGGGTTAGAATCTGTTAGGTCTGGGTGAAATATCTATCCTTACTTGCAAGAGGTCATGTGTCAGAGTCACAACTCTTCTAAATGGTTCAACTTTTATGTAAGGTGATTATACATATCATCATTTTACTGGTTATAATAAAATGAGAAAAATAAAATAAAATGTGGCTTGCTGATGAGAAGAGAATGAAAAAATACAATAAATTTCATAGAAGTATCTTTGTTAATGTTTTAGTGGTCGATTATCAAAATAAAAATTATATATATTTAATGATTATTTTACAAGAAAAAATAGTTTGACAACTAAAATAAAAAAGAAGTAATAAACTAGTGACGGATGATATAGTTTACCATACTATTAAATAATGTATGAAGTTCAATCATGTACTTTAAATTTACCAAAGTTTTCTCCCCTCATCAAATGTGGCTAGTACCACATTTTCAGCTTTAAGATACTTGAAATTCAAGAGTGGCCTATGATTGAAAAATTAGGAATAACTTATGTAAAAAAAAAACTAAAGTGAAATATATTTAAAATATATAAATCAAAATTTAAGTATATATGTATTTATTATATTGATAATTAGGGTCCATGTGTTTGATTTTTTTTAAAAAAAATTCACGTAATAATTGTTGTTATTATTTTAACAGTCAATAATAAAAATACAAAAAATTAACGTCAGTGATAATTTTATTAAAAATATTTAGTGAAAAAAGTAATACATTAGTGACTAATCATATAGTTTACCCTACTATTTAATGGGGGTAGGAAGTGCATTCAATGTACTTTAAATTTTGCCAAGTTTTTACCTCTCATCAAATGTGGCTAGTACCACATTTTCAGCTTTTAAGACACTTGAAATTCAAGAGGTCCGTGATTGAAAAATTAGGACTTAAAAATATCATACTCAAATTCGAGTAAAATATATTTGAAATATATGAATAAAATTTTAAGTCTATATATATATTATTGATAAGTTAGGGTTATCGTGTTAGAAAAAAGAAAGAGAAAAAGAACCTTCTGAATTTTAACGACACTACTAATTTTTAACATGTTATATTTAAATTGTGCATATAATAGGTGAATGTGTATTTTAAATATGCTTTGTCTCATATTTAAATTGGTTGGTTAAAAACAAAATCAGAATATAACATTATGAGGGGGAAACTGTTGAACTTGAAACTTGAAGAAGGACTAAAAAGTATTTAATTCGAGCTAAATTAAAATTATGACTTATTTAAATTTGTAGAAACCTAATAAGTATTTGAACAAAAGGAGGAGGAGTCGTGGGTTGATTAGTTTAAGAAGTAATAAGGACCTTAATTCAAACAATTTAGGAAAGAGTTGAGACTTTAACTAACTTAAGTTAATAGAAGTATTAGATTGATAGAATACATATATTTGAAGGATTTAATAAAAAAAATTTTAAAAAAAAAGGAAAGGGATTGGGCAGCTTTCTTACATTATGATAGATGATGGATGCAAAAGCAAAAGCATTTGGGGCACAATTCAGTATAGTTAGAGGGATTTCAAAAGGCATAGAAACAATGTACATAGCATGTTGAATAGGCAATGAACAGCTCCTGAAGTAATCCTTGGATTTGCGGCCCCCTACTACCTCTTGTTCATCCTCCGTGTGGTTTGGCCCAATTTCAAATGCTTTTTACACTAGAATCTTGAAACTGGCTCTGGTCCCTCGCATTCTCTCAACAGCTAATGATATCAGTCGGATCAATTAGTGGGGGAAGATTGATAAAAGCGAATACTGGGAGGCAGATATGGTACATAAACGTCATCTGTGCTAGTTTTAGAATTGACAACAGGAAGACACTTGTGTAAATTGGTCGGTATTCTTTTTACAGACATGAGTAACTTCCAATCTTGTTCCGACTCGGGACAAAGCTTGTCGTCTTGGTTTAAATGAAAAGGGGGTGAATGGTGATTCACTTAAGTCAAATTTGCATACCCAATTATTCTTTTAATGATGCTTTGAATAAAACCAAGTTGTTAGTGAAATTATGAGTTGGATTATCAAAATGGGTTTTATAAGAAATAGGTTGCATGGGGGGTTAAGTTTCAATCCAAGCCAACCTCAAGCTTGCAACCATTATCATAATAGGAGTTGTATGTAACAAAGAATTCATATTTCCAAAGACTAACAACATTGCTTTTGAAAAGTCAATGCCAAGTTGGTCACTTGGCCAAAACTTTCGGTGGTCTGCAAATTAGTTTTCAATATTCACGACTATTCGGTGCAGCAATTGTTGAAAAAAATAAATGGTAAAATTGTTAAATTAGTCTATATACTTTAGGATATTTACAAGAGTAGTCCTTAA